TTATATAGGCTGCTAAGCAACGTTAAGAAGCCAAGGAGGGTACAGAGGTAGGAAATGTGATATTTTGTGGTGTACAAGTCATAATTTTTATAACATTTTCCCGGGGATTGATGATGAGGGAGGGGGGCAAACAGTCGTGGAGCGAAGCACACTACAGAGGCTCCACTACACTGGCAACATAATTTTCGTATATTGGTTATACCTGGTAACACTATATTGATTATACATGGTATAATTTTGAACGCGCGTCTTTTTTTGCCGTGAAAGACTCAATGTCGTTGTAGTGAGTACATTTTGTTACATAGCTAACGTAACGATATAAAATTATCGTTACACACGTAACTATCAGTGAATATCAGGTGTTATTTTTAGCGACATCCTATCTAGTTTTTACCAGGGCTCCCATACTCTGGAACGAAAGGGAGTGAGTATGGGATGATTTGGTCTCCCATATTACCAAGATAGGGGCTAATATATCGATGTAGATGTAGATGTAGATGTAGAATCCTTCAGGCCAGGTAGGAATATCTTCCAGTTTGGGCCGCTCTTGGCTTCAGCCGACAGTCATCTCAGGTCGCATGGGATGATCCAGGGCTCTGTAGTTGTATACTACTGGGTGTAGTCTCATATGTTTATCAAATCTATATCGTTTTGTCTCATAAGTAAACCTTTATATGTATATTTACGAACAGAGCCTTTAGAAGATGCTTGGTCTTGGGAGATCGTTGGCTTCACTAGGCCGGATGGCAGCAGCCTTGCCGAAAGTGAGCACATTAACCACAGGCCACACACAGGCAAGAGGTGAGGAGGGGTTTTTAATTTTAGGCCATGGAAATATAGTTTTATGGATGACATTTGGGCTCATTGGTTTTCAAATGCTTTTCAAGGAAGTAAATTAAGAAATGTACATGTAACTTAAACGCTACATTCATGACCGCATTTGTAGAAAATTGTAACATTTTTAGTATTGATAGTAGGTGCCATTGTTATTTTTTTAATGCAATACTAACAATATGATGTTTTTTTCCTGCCTTATACAGATACCATTTTGGCTGGCCCATCCAGCCATCTGCTAGCAGCCTCTCCCCCCTGTGCACTGCTGAGCCCTATAAGGACATACTTCAGATACAAAACACCAAACCTAAATGAACTGCACATCCGGGGACCACGCAAGCCCAAACCCAAGAAACTGGGGGGGACGGAGGGTCGCCCCCAGCTGAAGGGTGTCGTGCTCAAGGTCTTCATCCGCAAACCCAAGAAGCCCAACTCCGCCAACCGGAAGTGCTGTCGTGTCAGGCTCAGCACGGGTCGAGAGGCTGTGGCGTTCATCCCCGGGGAGGGGCACAACTTACAGGAACACAACGTTGTGTTGTTGGAAGGGAAGCGACCGCAGGACTTGGTCGGGGTGAAGCTGAAAGTCATCAGGGGGGCGCTGGACTGTGCCCATGTTAAGAAGAAAACGCAGTAGTGTTTTTTCCAAAACGCAGTAGTGTTTTATTTTTCCAAAGTGTATGACAATGGCAGGAGAAGGACAATTACATGCAGTTTAACTTCAAGTAAACTGGTATGTCGAATCGGGAGTTAACCTGTTAAACACAGTAAAGTAGCCATTTGGCTACCAATTTTCTATTATGATACTGCAGATCACATGGAGCATACCATTACACCCATGTAATAACAAAATACAACATACAAGTAGCTGTTCTGTGCAATCATGTTTTTATCTGTTAGAATATATAATATAGATGTCCTTTAATAAAATAAATGGATAATGGAAAAAACAAAAATAAATGTATCAACTGTTGGACTTGGAGCCTGAGTGTTGGTAGAAGTTTACAACTGTTATCTGCTTAACAGGCATTTCACAGCAAGTTTTTTCTCCGATAAAACTGTTTCCATTATTTGATAAAGCTTGTATTGCCAATATTTGATAAAGCTTGTATTGCCAATATTTATATAATATTAGATTGCCAGTCCTTAAGGTTTAGGTGGGATGGGTTGGTTACAGTTGTAGTGTCCTACAGGTGAGTAGACGACGTCCTCAGGGTACCCGAAGGCCTGAGGTCCCACCACCTGTAGTGCCTGAGGTGTGCAGAGGAGAGGAGGGGCGGGAAGAACCAGGACGGCCACGCGCAGTCCGTACCGCATCTCCTCGGTCGTGATTGGAGTTCCCGCATCCGCGTCCACCACCGTGATGAGGTCAGGAACACAGGCTACTACCTGGGGGGATAGTCAAGGTTTCAATCTGCATTGGTTAGCTGGTATTTTGGGAATTTATGTCCCACAAGCCTCAAGAATCCTGTCTATAGTAACCAAATTTTATTGGTTCCCAGAGTGGTCTTCTAGGGAAGTTTTGACTATATACTGCATAACCTCCCCACCTTGTTATCGCTCAGGAATCTTGCCACCAGGTTCTCATTCTGGAAGTCAATCTTCAGGGTTTGACCCAGGAAATCCCCCAACCCCTCAACCTTTAGCACCCCTCGGGCAAACCCTGCAGTTGTCATCCTCTGGACATCAGAGACCTGAGGAGAAAAGGACACAAAATTACAGGGAGCTACACCACAAGGTTGTCACCTAACAAATTTGGAAAGACTAGAAACTGACTTCGTGCAACTTACAGTAGGCACCAGGAAGAAGGTTAGACTTGAGACCTGAGGAGCAGTTGCATGAAGTTGTCACCTAACTCTGGGTATGGAAATATGGAAAGGGCAGAAATTTGGGTTCTCTCAAAGGGTTCCATGGTTGAGTATCCCATTGCTTTGTATGTGATTACAGAAGTGGAAAATTTACTACCCGTATTAGAAGTCTCAAAATTTTATTCTTTAATTTTCATTTTAATCTTAAAATAAGATTAACAGTACATCTTGTCATTATGTGAAGTGCAGGACTTCCGACATTATAACTTGACTCAACAAATCTCATCAGACATATTTTCATCAAGAGCACTCTCACCTTTCCTGTGGCCAGGAGCCTGCCTCTCTCCTGCTCCAGTGCAGCACAAACAGGAGATGTACCGTTCTTGTAGGCTTGCAGAACGGCGTGGCCCAGGTGCCAGGCTCGACTGAGCGAGTACTGGATACAGGAGGAGCGGACCTGGCCAGCGGTGAGCGGGGCAAATGACACCCCTGCACTGCAGCTGGGGGGGGGGAACAAAAGGGGAAATGAACATTAGCCCAATGAACAGTTGGGCTAATCTTCCAATGATTGTGACAGAGAAAATGGTATATTTACAGGTTGATTGTAGCATGGAAATTCTCCTACAGTTCTGTTCAAAGGAAAAATCACATTGCCAGGCTCACCCCATTTCAACACACACGGCCCTGAAGTGGTTTTCGAGGTGCTTGGCAGAGTCAGCCTGCAGCAAGGCTGCCCTTTGACCTTTGTCATCAGCTACAGCAGCAGGGCATGGGTCAACGCCATACATAAATGGTCCAAACATCTACACAGGAATAGAACAACATCAGGACAAGAACAGAACAACTTTGGCACAATGACAATGACAAGGGTAAATTGCTACAGCAACAGAATAGCACCAACAGCATAGAAATAGAACATCTGCATTATATTAAAGCTATATCAGCACAGGACAGGAATAACATTAGCACAGTAATAGAACAACATTAGCACAGTAATCTATTCTATAGATTTGATGTTTTTTTAAAGGTTTTGTAGATGGAGAAAGCTTGCGAAGATCGTGGTAACTGTTGCAACTGTTTCTTTCAGCTTCATTTAGAAGACATTTACAAATGGAATGTAGATGTATTTCCACTGCATCTGTTGTACAATACTTCAGCAAAGTCTCTCCTGAACCATCACAGGTTTCTCCCCAGCCCACCTGCAGCTCAGGAAATGCCCTCCCCATCCCGTCAGCATCCACCACAGGCAGGTCCAGCGCTGCCCCCACCACCAGCGGCTCCATGGAGTTCAGCCCTCCGATCTCTGCACTCATGACAGCGACAATCCTGACGTCCTGGCCTGTGTTAGTCTGTGCAGGTCTGTAGTCATCTATGTATGTCACTCCATCACCTGACTTCACTTCAACACCGTCTGAAAAACAAAAAATCAAAGATTGCACACCTACCTGAAGTATCAGTATTTCACACTGATTCTGTTTATGAATTTTCCCACTGGCTCCCATAAGGGGGTAGACATGCATCTATAACAGGAAATTGAAGACAGGAAATAAGATAACCTTTTAAGGGACCTTTAAGCCAACTTTCTGTGTTGCTAACATGCCTAGCATGTCTAAATAACTATAGAAAAACAAGCAAACACACAGGCATATTGAAAACAAAACCATCGAGATAACAAATACCTTTGCCAGACAGTTGTCCATTGTTGTACCTGGCAGCACACAAGTCCTGCACACACTGTAGCGCATTTCGTGTCTCGTTCCCACTGCACAGCTTCTCAAACTGGATGGTCGGAGCGCCCATAAAGGCCACAGAGGCCACCAAACCAGTCAGGCCTGGGGTAGTGTCTAGTCTGGCTCAGCAGTTCAAGAACAGAACTTGGTTTTAAATAGAATTAAGCAAATTAAGCAAAAGAGAGAGAGAGAGAAAGAGGGATGGAAAAACTTAAGACAGACAGACTGTGAGAGACAGACTGAGAGGGAGACTGAGAGAAAGACAGCAAGACATATATAATACCAATAAGCATATATTAGAAAGAAGTGCGGCTACCAGTAGATGCAGAAGATGAGGAAACTCCAGTCCTCACCTCTCTGGTGCAATGACTCGGATTTTCCTGCCCTGTTCCAGTGTCTGCAGGACCTGCAGCCGGCCCAGCCCGGGGTTTCCTCCCCCACCGCACCCCAGGACTCCCCGCCCCACCGCCAGACACTCCACGTCCCAGCGGCTCAGGACCCACGCACCCGTCTCTGGCTCAATCTCTGGCTCCGTCTCCTGTAGCGAGGGCAAGTGGCTGGCCAGCGGGGTGGGAGGCATTGCAGGGGGGCCTGAGTCAGCAGCTGGAATTCAGAGAGTGGTAAACATTATACTGGTCGACCTCAATGCATTAATTATACTTTAGCCAGACCAGCCCATCAATGCATGTACATTCACATAGGGATACTCCTTTTCTCCCCCTTACAATCCTGACAGCTTTAGTTACTTGGCTTTTCTTGTCACATGGTGAAAATTTTTACTTTCTCTATACCACACTGTATTCCTTTAAAAAAAATGGTACAGCGGAGGATGAAAAGTAACAAACAAAAAGGGTAGAAGGAAGAAAAATTACCATCCTCCTCCACTGTTTGTTGTTCCACTCCCATGGTGTTGATGTTGGCAAGGTCAGTTCCTCCCCCTGAGTGTCTGTCCTTCAGGTGCCCCACTGCCTTTACTGTCACTTTGGTTGCATTACCCGGCAGGTACGCCAGAGGGACCTCATTAACTTCTGTAATCTGCAACGTGGATGCAGATTCTGTGGACGCTACTCTCTTTGCATTTGAAAGTCACTGGAATATACTTAATAAGGTTTTTAAGCCAAATACCTCCATAATTTAGGTGCATTACCCATCTTTCTAGCACAAATTTAATGAGCAATGGTCCTTGATTCAAATGATCAGTTTACTTGATTAAAATAGCTTATTTACTGTTATTTATAATGTTTATCTAAGATACATATGTTTGCAGTTCTGTGAGTGTGGTCCAACCTCCACCGTGCTGTCCACAGCACCGGCAGCCACGGCCTGTTGAGTGGCGTCTGCTTTTGCCCTCCTGATAGCCTCATCCCGAGACGTCTGCGCCAGACTAACCACCCTGTCCACCGTACCGCTCACCTGGCACAGCGCTGCTCCCACTGCATTGGCTACCTGGTGGGGAAAAACATAACCTGCTTTTCCCTCTGTTTTCAAGGACCTATGGGTGGTTTATGAGCTAGCTGTATAACCAGTAGGAGTGGATCGGAGGGTCCTCTTGTGATTGGTCCACACAGCCTAGCTATGTGATAATTTCTCAGCCTGACCTGATAATGCTGAGGCTTCTGAAGGCTTGATGCTCCACTGATGTTTCTCTTTCCATCCACCAGAATCGTGCCACCCCCCACCAGCAGAATGGGCTGTTCCTCACCACTTAGCTGGAGAGAGAACAGTAAAACAAAAATGTGTTCAACAAGAAATCAAAGATTTCACACCTCCAAGGACTGACAAGTGACCCTTTACCCTTGATTTGTCTTGATCCTAGTCGTTTATGTTTGTCTATGTGATTTATTGATTGATTGATATCTGCTTCTTCCCACCTTGACCTGATCAATGGCCTCCTCGACCATCTGGTGCATCCTGTCCACCGCCTGCTGCACCAGGGCCGGGTCCAGGCTGGTCACATGACCAGGGTCGCCCAGGTCAGCCAGTCCAGCCGCCACGGCCACGTCGGTGGCAGTCAGGGTGGAGCCTCCGAACACCAGCCCCTCCCGCACCAGGCTATACCCTGTACTGGTGGGACCAACCTCCACTGTAGGCTGGAAAACAGGACAAGTCTGCTGCTACCAAGCTTTTCTGATTTCATTCGTCTTTTTTAAGAATCAACATGCACAGATTTGTACAAAGGATGTCAGTTATACAAACATGTACTGTACCTGATTTCTCTTTGGACCGTCCATCTGTCTGACAATAGATCCTCCTCCCAGTCCAATGCTCAGGACATCGGGCATGCGGAAGTTTGTGCTTACTCCTCCAACCTGTCATGAGGAACACGGAGGAATGGATTGAATGTGTGTAACATTCAAGATGAAGGTTCAAACCAATAACTTAACAAGGAAATCAAAATCTGCAAAATATCCATAGTTACAAAGAATTCCTTGTTTTATTTCTGATTTTTATTCCACTGTCACTTCCTCTCAGCCTAATGGGAGACCATTTTAACCTCAGCAATTTGACCTTCCTGTCAGTCTGCAGTTACACCATTCCTTTCTCACTTCCTGTTACTCTGCTGTATCCAAATAACTATGGACAGTAGTACAAACGCACCAAAAACAAAACTTTCATAAACAGAGGTTGCAAATATACCATTCACACTAAAGGGTGCAGCATAGACAATAACCAAACCTTGATCCTGGTCGATGCCTGCCGAGGAAATCCTCCCTTCAGACATCCCACGTCAGAAGTGGTGCCTCCAATATCAATCACAATAGCATCCTCAACACCTGTGTGTCCAATATACAGTAAATCATCAATTCCAACAGTCATTGCCATCTCACAGCAAAGTACTAGTAGTCACCTATACTCATCTCACCTAATCTCAAAGCAAAATTACCCATACCTTACCTGTAAGTTCAGTGCCCAAAAGTGGCACATGTATTTCAATGGCCTTATATCTGGTAAACTTGTTAAAGAAAAAGCTCCTTGTGAAATTAAAGCAGAAGGAATCTTCCCCTGGTGTAAGCAGTTAATGTAGTCTGCTAAAGAATAATGTTGAATTCCTCTATTGAGAATCCAATTACATGTAACAGCAACTCAAGCACCACTGCAGTATCCCACCTGACAGGAAGGCTGCTCCCCTCATGCTGTTGGTGGGTCCTGATGCAAACGTGCGTACAGGGAAATCCAACGTCTGCTCAGCACTGGAATACAAACAGCACTGGTATTCACGAAAACATTAGGCAACTTTGATACTTGATACTACACTGTAATTGATACTTACTATTAGGCAACTTAGGATTCAACCATTCAAATGATGGTTCTTGTGATGTAAGATCAGGATTACCATGAGATTGTACTAGACTAAACTAGAGGTCGGAGATCTCATGTCTTCGTCAGAGGTACATCGTTCTAGAGAAATTAACATGCGTATTCTTCACTTTTTTTAATAATCAATTTGGTCTAAAGAACAAAAGAATCTCTGTACTATTTTTATGGTACAGAACACCCTGAAACGGTTTGCGGCAGATTATACAGATGCGTCGTCACCCGTGTTAGCCCCCCCCCCACGTTATTTGAGTTTGGACTGTTACTGGAAAAAAAACGTTCAAGAAATTCTTACTGTGTTGAAAGTGTCACGACAGCGCCGCAAAATATAATAAGAGAAGATGTTATAAAGGAAAGAATCAGAACAGGGTGACTACTGCTGTTTTGTTAATTTGTCTTTATGACAAATAGAAGACTTGTTTCTTGTGTTCTTTGTGTCCTAACATTTGTACTTCTACAGTTAGTATATTCCAAACCTAGGCATCTCGTTTTTCGGCCCTTCGTGTTTTATTGCGCGCTTGCCTTAAATTTAAGGTAATTAGATTTAAGGTCTCCAGTGGACGTCATCCATAGCAATTACTTGGTGTGGCCGTAGAAAATAACCTGACATATGTCCAACCTATCCTCCCCCTGCTGAAGTTATAGTACAATCCCTCAATGTAACGTCATTTGATCCCATCCATTATGGGGTTCCCAGGCTATATCCAGCTGTCGGCTGTCTCCAAGCAGATGTAGGTGGGGGATTTCTAAACACAAAAGGTCCTATTACGGGGACATAACGACCTCCACGACTCTCATCTTTAAACTCAATCTTGGAGACCACCACAGTAACATGCCTATCAAATTTCATTAACTTCCATCCAAACATACAAAAGTTATCCTGCTCACAAGAAAAATTAACAAAATGCCCCCTGTAGTCTGTATCTGTATCTGTATAGCCGGTATAACCGCCTTTCGGCGTAACACACCAGCTTCGCAGGCACGCGGCGCGGCGGCGGCTGGCTATATTACACCGATCGACTTGTTACACCTAACCCTTGAACTTCTAGCTCTAGACATTGTTTAAAGCTATCTATTGACAATGCCCCTACTGTACTTGGTGACAGTGAGTTCCACTCTGCGATAGTTCTAGGAAAGAATGAATTCTTGATCCTTGGTTGATAACTCTGGTACTTGAATGCGTGGCTATTTCTTGTCCTCTTCTGGGCTGGTATTAGGTACTTAGTAGTTGGGACATCCACCAGTCACAACGAAACCCCCCACGAAGCTCAGTAACGAACTTAACCTTGGTCCCGACAATAGTAAGCACCACACCAAGAATTATAATCAACATTTTACAAATACTTGAGTTATCTTGCTAACAAGCCACAAACACAAAAGGTGCACTAACGTGACGCACGGACCCCCCACGAAGCCGAAACTTGTACTTGACTTTGGCCTCAACAGCGGTAATCTGCCTGCCAAAAATCATGGACATCGAATCATGCCTTCCAGAGTTATATCGCAAAATCCGCAGTTCCCCACACTCCGGCGAGACAATTTCATAGTCCTTCTGACGAAGACAATTAGCATGCTCCAGAACAAACAATGTCCATTTTCACACCTGATCAAGGTCCCATCATTCTGAGTGAGGTAGAAGGGGCAGGTCAGTCCCAGGGCGTTCAGTGCCTGTCTAAATGCCTCCACTGTGCGGTGGGACAAGGGTTTCAGGCACTCATTCAGGATGGCTGCGTTCTCCCTCTCCAGCAGCCCGATCTGACCCACTTTGTGGGACAACGTTAAGCTGACTTCTGGAAACTCTGCACGGAAAAGTTCAGCAACCTGGAGGGATTCAAGGAGAAAAGCCTGAGTTTTTCCACAACCTTAAACTTGAAGGTCTGATGAAGCCACGGTGGATTAGATCATTGACGATGTCTTTGAAAGAATGATTTAAAAGACAGAATTAAGAAATGACTGAATGAATGCAAACATTTGAAAGAAGGAAGGATGGATAGACAAAACAAAAAGGATGGATGGATGGAGGGAATCTGCTGCTTTACAATGTATTATGTTGTTGCCATTGAAATAAATGACAGAAATAGTTTTATTAAGATTTCTGATGAGTCCCACTTTCTCCTCCTGCTTCTGTGGCGCGACGGGTGAGAAGACTCCAGCAATGACCACATTCCTCCCGCCCTCCTTCCGGATGGTCCTGATGCAGGTTCTCAGCTCCTCCTCATCCAGGGATGAGATCTCCTGGCCATCGAACTGCAGACCCCCGTTTACCAGGTGGTATGACCCACAGACCACCTGCAAGAATGAACAAATGAAGAGGCATGAGCTTCCTAGCATTTTACACTGACCAGATTTCTTAAACTGCAGTTTCCGCACTAATTTCTCAGATTTGCCCCCAAATTACCAGAAGTCTATTTAAGAGGAAGATGTGCTAAGGTTTGAAGGGCCCAAAATCTATTTTTTTAAAGTTTACAAGGGTCTAAGACATACTAGTACCTTCTTCAGGTCCAGAGGGAAGTCACAGAAAGGAGGCAGTGCCCGGGAGGCAGTCCCACACAGCCGCACCACCGACACAGGGACCAGGTCTCTCCTCTGCACCAAGGCATTCACGAAATGGGTGGTGCCAATGTTCACTCTAGATATGGTACCTAGCATAGAATACAAGGTAAATAGACAACTACTAAGTATGTATGTCTCCGGTTGTAGGTCTAGTTGTAGGTCTGGTTGTAAGGAAACATACTTAATTAAGGACCACAAAGTTAGCCATCGGGCCCCAGACCACAGTTCAGTGCATGCTGGTGGCATGCGGTAGAGTCATTGAGAGGGGGAAATGCAGACACCTTGAAGAGCATTGTTACCTTCATAAGAAATGGAGGTATTGTTTTTGATGTGTATGTATGTGGATGTGTATGTTTCCACACATTTGTAGTCATCATAACTTCAGAACACCTTCATGGATTTTGATGATATTTGGTACATTTGTAGGTCATAGGAAGATAAAGGTCAAGGTCAAATATGGGCCTCCTGGGGGCTGACCTTGGTACTGTAGCAGAACTTGGTACTGAAGCAGAACCAGTTTTTGTATCTTTTGTCCTGAACATGCTATGGTCTTGGATTGTTGATGACAGATAGCTGTTCCTGTCAGGAATAAGTCGTATGGGTTTTTGTCCCCCTAGCAGCTTGTTCTGTAACTACAAGGGAGTTTCTGGCAAAATCTTTTCACCAGATAAGTCCAGAAAGGAACAACATATTCTCATCATTTTGGTATGTAGGTACATGTAGCTTATAGAGAGATGTAACATAATTAAATGCAAATTGTACAATTGAAGATCTGATTATAGGATATTCTGTAATTACAGTGTTTTACATAACAGTACTTCCATACATGTATGTAATTTATGGCAGGTGGAATATAGACAGATACTAATCATGCAAATAATGACCTAATTTGCATAATTAATGTAAAATTGCTGTGATTTCTTAATGGTGAATGATAGGATTTTTTTACCTTGTGACATGTGTTAGTAAACATCACTATGCATATATTATGTTAATATAGAGGACATTTGCATAATTAATGAGGACATGTTGAATTGAAGGATTGGAATTTGAGTTTAGAAAACCATGAATTAATTAGATTGGTAATTACGACCTTATTTCCATGATCAATGAGACAGATAAAAAACATTTACATTATGTCTAACAGTTACATATTTCATGGAGGTATGAAGTTTGTTTACAGAGGAGGCAAAAGTGACCCGAAAGATGGAAGATGGCACCTGTATGACGTCAATTCCAACATGGCAGCGACTCCGAGTGACAACAATACAGACAAACATGTACTTGTACTAGTAGTACATGTAGTTAACTTCCAGTATAACCGCCCTTCGGCGTAACGCACCAGCTGCACACACACACACACCTTGCCAGTTCTTGTCCTTGAGCTGCACCAGTACCTCCCTGACGGCCCGTGCCACACCTGTGGTGACATCCCGTGTGGTCACCTGTTTACTCCAGCACACGACCTGGTCCCCCTGTAGCACCACTGCGTCCGTGTTCGTGCCACCCACGTCCACTCCGATAGAGTACAGCGCCATGGCCGAGATATGGAGGGAGGGGTGACGAGACAGCTAGGGGTCTGCGCACAAAGTTTGATCAGGAACTCTAAAGTTGTCGTCACGGGCGGCGGGTTGTTTTTGCCGCTTGCTTCGATTCGGCTGCTAGTCTCTTGTGCTTTCGTTGTTGTTGTTTGAAGTCTAATATATCGCTAGACGTGGACTCTTGGTGCTGGTTTACGCTTGCTTTCTTCGCTTTGTTACTGATGTCAAAAGGTCAAGGCTTTGCAGCTAAGGAACGTAGAAACAACAGATCTGGTCAAGGGTATTATATCATCAGTTTAACGTTACCTTCGGATCTAACCACTAAGTTTGTCTTTTGTTTACTTGTAGGGTGGCTATTCTTTTATATCACACTTTAAACTTTCAACTTTGACCATCTCTTTGCTCATCAAGCAGATGTGGATCTGTTACGTCATGCGATATGAAACCGCGGACAGGCTGTAGTCAACACGCGCGAAACGTTTGAACGGCTCGTTGTCCGTAGTAGACTCGCTTGTCAGTTTAAATCTTTTCAGTCGTTCGTCACGGCTAGCTTTCGTAAAAATATGCATCAGTCTTCCATATATTATGGCCTTAACGTTAACGGGGTGTTACGTATTTTTTTTACTTGCCTGTGGAATAGGCAAAGTAAACAACGTTTAGTAATCTGACAATGGTGACTTTAGTTAGCCTCCCTAGCAGGCTTTGTGGCGGGGGGGGGGGCATTCACTTCAATGCGCTTTTTTCTTCTTCAATGAAGGCATAACGTTAACGTCATCGTTGCCACTTCTATAGAAAAAAAGAAAGGCACAAAGGAGTTAACGTTAACTAAATCTCTGTAACTGCCAGAGCTGTGACAAATTGGAACTTTTTGTTTGAAATCTTAGGTCCCTTGGGAATAGGTTAATTTGCATGTTTCCGCACGTCCGTCTCAAAGTAATGAATGACTGAATACTATGGGGGTGTCTTTGGATGCTAAATGAGCACCGTGAGTAACCAGGTCAGTTTTGGCTCGTTGCTGTTACGTATTTACGGTGACGTTAGTAGCGGTATGGTTATCAATAAACGTGAACGGGTTTTCTGCGCGTGAAAAACTTGCGCGTGAAAAATTTGCATGTGAAAAATAAAAGTCCCTAAAATATGTTAAAAATATGCAGCACCAAATTCTTAGGCAGGAAAATGTATGTGATCCTGTGATAAGATAGAAGCTTTATTCAATATTTTCTCAAACAGATTTTTCCCGTGCAAATTTCAGACATTTTTTGCGCTTGGAAACTTAAAACTTTGAAAATCACCTAAAATCACTGAAAATCAAAGAAGGCTAACGTTATATAGTCTGGAATGCAATAGAATGACATTCATGTCTTTTTACCAGCTTTTCATGGATATCAGCTAACATTAATTTGCATATCATCACGCGCAGATTTTTCACGCGCACAAAAAAACCCCATCCCTTTAACTGTTATTTCGTAGCAATGGCAAATCCCGAGTGAAGCAAGCCTGATAGGCATGCCCCACGGTGCAAAACTGGACCTTGTCCAACGGGATCCTAAAAATACCCGAGTGACCCTCTCAGTATGCCACAAAGAGCTGCTAACCCTTGTTACATTTCGTGATTTTTATCCTATTTCGCCCATATTTGCACTCTTCTATGCAAAATTGTCCCAGATTGTGCGGTCCCGTTATGCCTTATGGGGATAATTTTTGTGTTTATTGTTGAAATATGTCTTGTCAGTATTACCTTGATAACCTATTTGTCCTTGGCCCTCGGCAGGTTGTATTCGATTTGTAACCTTGTCCACGCCCATATATGGCGTTGTTTTGGTTGCCTGGTGCATGCCGGGACGTCGGTCAATGGCCCCCAGATAGGAGGTCAATGAACCAAAATGCGCATTACGTGACGTGAATTGCGCAACACGCAGCAACTGGAGAGGTTGAACATAACCCAGTTGTCTCTGCTGCGATTCTGACGCTCCAAACTTCACGTTTTACCTTTACAAATGCAGGAAGTCTGCGAAGCGCTCGGATTCTGACAACCGTTTGTACAATATCCGAGAGAAAGTGGTTTATCGCAAAACGCTCCACGTCGGATGACCCAGTTTCTGTGTCCCACGTGACCCATGTGAGCCTATCACAGGATCGGTTACGTCCATAGCGCATACGCAATGAGCTGTTGCTTACGTAAGACGCCACCGAGCTTCTGCATGCTGCTGCAACGTGAGGTCTGACCAGTGCCCTGGGTAAATAGGTCACTCCAAATCACGCGAATTTAGCGTGCTTCTTACCCGTCAGAGCCTACTTGGACATCCACAGCTGTTCCAAGGAGTACTGGTTCCTAAATCGAGGTAAAACTGTAGATAACACGGTCTATATCTGGTGTTTCATGCTATTTTTCTGGTTTCCAGTAGCCGATTGGGAGTATTTTGACCGGTTGTTAAGTAATCGTTACCTAACGTCGCCATATTTGTCAACCGAGGTCATTCAACCCGTTGTATTATTCCCAAGGGACCTGTTTGTCCAGTTTTCTAATACGTGACCCCAAAACCAAGGCAAACTGAGGAGGAATATGGCCGCATTGGTGCCACATCTATTTTGTCTCATTTTAGTCCGCCATGATAGTCCCCATGCTAAAACCGTGGCCTGACCTACTTTTCAGACGACCCGGTTGATGATTTGATTATACGACCGCCGGCTTGCCAGTCAGTCAGCTATGGCCGAGACAAGGGAGGCAGAAGCTAGCGACGGGAGGGAAGAGAAGCAACTCTACGGGTTCCACGCCAGCACCACCTACACGGGGCATCCGTCCCTTCCTAACGGCCGGTCGTCGGATTCCCCTGAAGCCGGGCAGGAGGCGGAGAAGCACTTCTCGGCAAGGGAGGATGCTGGAGAGCAGTCCCGCCGGCTGTCGGAAGAGGGCGCCGTAGATCTGAGCGCGAGCCGCCCAGGACGTGGAGGGGGAGGTCGGTCCCACGCCGCCACTCAAGCCGACGAAGACAGCCTCGGTGGGAACAGCTTCGACTCCTCCTCTGTTGACGATCAGCAAGATTCTCCGAGAGATGGATCTCCCGACGACAAAGCGGAGGAACGCCGCCACCAGAGCTACCTGGAAGGATACCGCCACCCCCATCCAGACGCCCTGCGGGCGGGCATCCCCACCACCCCCGTGCACCTGGTGTACCCAGGGATCGGGTACGTCCAGGTGCAGATGCCGGTGGATCTTCGCGGGCAGCCCGTGGCGTTCCTCCAGCCTGGCCTGAATGGCGGAGTCCCCCACACCGGCCCGTCCACCTCTGCGGCTTCCTCGGTGACCATGCTGGAGGAGCTGCGGAAGAGGGTCCATGGCGGGCTCGATGTCAGCAAGCCGCCTCAGCCTCGGAAGAAAGCGCGCAACGTGCCTGAGGGCGAGAAGGATAACTCCTACTGGGAGCGCCGGCGGAAAAACAACGAGGCTGCCAAGAGGTCCAGGGAGGCGCGAAAGGCCAAGGAGGGAGAGATCGCCGTCAGGGCCGTCCTGCTGGAGGAGGAAAACATCAAATTGCGCGCACAGGTGGGAGAACTGAAGCAGGAGACCGAGCGGCTCAGAGCGCTGCTGTACGCCTCGTCCCCAGGAAAGGGAGAGAAATGATCCAGCCCCCGAACGCCTCGTCCCCAGGGTAGGACGAAAAATGAACCTGGTCTCAGCAATACCTCAATACCGTGTTGGGCAGGCTAGGACTTGTACAGGACAGGTCACCGTGACCTGTATGTAAAGGGGGAGGGAGAAACTGTTCAAAAAGACATCTTTATTGTGTTCTTTTTAACACTGGTTTTAAAATCACAGCACCACAATGATGTACAATTCTAACAGTTTTGAGCAACTTTATGATGCATTATCTGAATGGAACTTTTGTACCATTTTGATACACTAGTTATACGCTTCTCAGCAAAATGACCGACTTCTAAGTCCAAGTCTATTCCGAATTCTAAGTCACCAGACAGTGAAATGAACATCCTGAAGTTGGCCGTTTACCTCATTAATTAAGGCTGGACAGGTTCAGCATCATTAACAGGTGGAATATTGTCCAGCAGTCGGTCAGTCCCGGACTCGGGTCCATCAGGTCTGTAGAGAAAGGGGAGGTGAAGGTCTCGCGCCGACACCACCTTCCAGGTCGCCGCCTGAACGCACAAATGACCTATTCTTCAAATATATATTATATATACAAGTATATTGTTATTGCTATATTAATATATGTAGGACGTAGAACTGATATTTGACTAATGCTAAGGTGATTGTACATTCTAACGTGTGTTAAGAACAAGGTTGTTGATATGAATGTTACTATGCGTTTTGATCGGCAGAGTCTGCCAGAGATTTTGTACGGATAGTTTTGTTCATTTTGTTGTACATTCCAGTGATTTGGTGACTTAATACGACTTACAGAATTTACCTCATCATGTACCTAGGTGTGAAGGGCACTCCTGTGCGCTCTGTCAAAAAAATCAACTGAAAACGTCCCACGTGTATGTAGCGTTTATGAACATCTGAGCTCCAAAGTAAAAGTTGCAAACTGCAGACCATTAAACTTTCACCCCAAGTAGAAGTTTGAAGGGACGATTGCAACACCCATGCTGTTTGAAGAGCTTCCGGCGGGGAGGGGGGGGGGGCTGTGTGTCTGAAAAAGCCGGAGAAGTTAGCGTTTTTCCTCTCAACGTCTGCTTGGAGATTACGGATGCTGGAGCCCGTTCTGCTACGGGAAGCGCTACGCGAACGCTACAAGGCGGTTTCAGTCAACGGGGCACCGTGCGTTAGAAAATGAGATATATGCTATGGTATACACGGTTCCCAATACTCGCATTGCGCTTTTTGCTACAGAAAGGGGGATAATGACAAAAAAATGTTTCACAAATTTACGGGAAAAGTCCTTCCAGTATCCGCACCTTGCCAATGTTGAACGCACATGCGTCCCCAAACATTTAGGTTATGATGACCTCACTTTTAGGTTGTCGTGTAATTTGCTAAGAAAATTACTGTAGAGCATCAGAGAATGTGAATTCTGTTAGGAGCCACACGCCGAGGTGCTAGCTTGCCCCGCCTCTCACGCAACATGTCACCCCTACTTTAGTATTGCAAAAGAACCGTTGCCAGGAAAAATGACTTCAACGCTGTTATTATAGTGTTAATCTATTGTCAATGTTTGAACACGAATACAAAGTACGTTCTCTTTGCTTTTCCTCTCATGATTTGGTCCTCGTCAGAAACCATGCTCTCATTGGTCGACAGATCTGTAATACATGTAGTTACTTTCAGTTCGCTTCAGAGACGCCTCCCAGCGGATGTAGTTGTCAATACAGATCTACTTGCACTTCTGTCTTTCTTTCCTGATCTTGAATGAAGGTGTTGGGAGGACGGTTGTACCGTTTTACTGACATGCTACCATGCTTGTCTTGTTGTGGAAGGTTGATATTCAATTAAATGTGTGGTCAGATGCCCATAAAAAGGAATATACAGCAAGGGACTCCAAACACTAAAACAATTTACTGAAGCTTGTTGTCAACAAATACAGCTCAGGTCATTCGGACAATGTTCAACGACCCTCCCTCCCAACATGTGCTTGGAGATTAGGGGCCACCCACCAACCATAACCCCCCGAACAAATGACCGGTGCTGAGCTACTGTCGTGGTCCCTAAAGAATCACCATAATACCGCTCACGGCGGTCGGCCTAGAACGGCCTGGTGGAGGATGAAAGCTCATCTCGTGATCGCAACTTTTAATTATAAAGCTGTAGAAATTGTCCCAATGCGATGTATTACATTTGTCAAAGGACTGGAGAGACTAATCTCCAAGCAGATCTTATGGTGGCAGCAAGACAGTATCATTTGCAGGGTAGTATCCAATCATCATCATCATCATCCGTCGTCCCTGTCGGGCGGGGTTAGCTGCTGCACAACTGCACTCCACAGGGATCTGTCGGTATCCAATACCATTACAGAAAATGTAATAAAAACGCCTAAAACAAGTCAAAAAAGCCGGAGCCTAATCTCCTTGTATGAGGAGACCATGTTTGGGTATCCTTCGATCGTGTGGTAAAATGAGCTGAATGGTTAGCCAGTGATTCTCGGTTGGCAAGCGAACTCTTCAAGTGAAGTCTTATTTGGCCAATTTCTACCAGTTTTCCCAGCTACGAGATAATGGAGTGTCCTGAGATACGTGCCTGAGACGAGCCGAATGCCACACAGTACCAGAGGAACTTGTTTATCTTCTCTTGACGGTTTGAAAGGTTGTCCTTTCGTGTGGCCCTATTTGTCTGAGTGTTGCCAGCGTGCTCCCCAAATATTCGCCGGTTCATCCATTTCTAAAGGGTTTGCGGCCCTTTGTAGGGGGTACATTCTTCCCCGCCGCCGTGTTCTCCCGGGAGCCGGGCCGTGTTTGCGGCAGAGCTGCGCTTCTCTCCTCGCAACGCCCCGGACCTGCTCTTTCACTTCACTACGTTTTGTCTGGCCGGCATTGTTCTTACACCTTCTTTTCTCTGGGGGTGCGATCGCTGAGCGACCAAAGAACTATTTGACAGATCGCTCAACGAATTTCATCGATAACAAGGTCTATACGACACGGTGATGCTTGTCACGATCCGCAAAGCCACGAAGGTATTGCGTGCTGCTGTTTTAGATCATCACAAACACAAATCTGATCTCCACTTTTTCATTTCAACGATTCGCCTCCGCTACAGGTGCACAAAAACACTGAGACTGGGCCTTATCCTCACATCTGCTTGATGACTAGTCTTCCCTGGTCTGAGACACGTGTCCAGTTCGCATCGAAGAGTTTTAAAACTCCGGTCAGGAGCATCAAGGCAAAGTTCAGCCCGCTGAAGGACTGTCAGTGGTCTGTTCTGAGGGAAGATGCCCGGTGGGCCGTGTCTGTGGGCCGGGAGACCGGGCACGGAAGATGCGCCCTTCAAAGCCGCCGCCGCCGCCTCCGGGCGTCCTGTGTGTTTGGTGTCGGCCGGGAGGGCACCCGGTCTCGCTAAGCGATGAAAGAAGCAGTGACCTCCATCCTTTTTTCTAACAAATACCCCCTTTTTCTCACTCAGTGTGCTTTGGGTTGCCCCAGCGGCAGCAGGGCCTTGTCAAGCGCACAGACAGACCGCGTAAGCCCCACGCTGGAGACCGTTGCCGCCCAGAAAGCGTTTCCACCCGCAAAACGAGCCGTTCAAAATTCCACTAAACCCTTTGAACTCAAAGAGATCTCCACCGCTCTCCATTAGCTCTTTTCAGGAGAGCCTGCCTTCGGGTGACGGCCGGGTAACCATGGCGACCCGAGTCAAGTGTTGAAATCCGCCTCACATGTCCCGTGTACCCCCCTCCCCCTCCCGGCGTGGGAACCCTCGTAACGGCCACAACCGCGTTGCCATGGCAACCTCAGGAAACTACAAGCTTAACGTACTACGTCTCTGTGTCTCCGAACGTCTGAAGTCTAGTATGGCCGAGCAATTTTCCCCTATTTTGTTCTTAAGTCCACCTAAATCCTCCTTAAGTCCGGGGCGACGGATGGCACGCAGCGCCTTGGTTACATCTGGGCCGGGGGAGCTCATGCGGGTGGTTCTCAAAGACTTCCTTATCTTCCCGGTCAGCAACTGGGCACGCAACGTAGCCTCTACCCGGCCTTCCTAAGGGGTTTTTGGTGGTAAGATTCGGTAAACGATATGAGTGAATACGACCAAGAGCCTGAGCATGCGGTAAGGACAACATTCCCCTTTGCAAAATCTCCTTGGGCAAAAAAAGGCTCCTCCAAATAAAACCCTATGGTGTACCAACTCATCCTGTTTGGGTAAAATTTCGTATTTTTAAGCCTGCGTTGTTAATCAGCTGGTACATGGTGGAGACTAACGCGACGCAACTCTCCCTCCCGTATCCCGGCAAAAACCACGCCACGATGGTATCTTATCGCGAACAGAGATTCTTTCTTTTGCCTTCAGGGCTATAAGAGACTGAGCACGAACGTCGTGATCGGGGTAACACCACTTCGACTCATCCACGCGCTGCGAGGAAAAAACTTGAAGACACCTTAAGGATCTGTAAAGTGTAGGTATCATCCCGTCTGACCATCAGGATGGACCCCTTTGTCATCGATTAGGCAATTAATTACCCTCTCCTGGCCACAATTGTTTCTATGGGAATGGGGCCGCTCAGGCGCAGACCTTAGATAAACACCTAATGCAACCATACAACACGGCTGTGTGGTGTGGAGGGTTGGGTCGGGGCTGCCGTTGCCATGGAGACCGAGGCGCCGCACAAAAGGCACGCGTGTGTGTGGCAATGCAAATTTTCCGTGCTCGGTGCTCCCGACCGCACAACATACACCGAGCCGACCCGGAGCCGTGTCTCACTTGCTCCGGTGTCAGTCAGCCAACACAGACGCATCGGTAGGAGGGCTATAGAGCAGACTGTGTGTACAAACGTACACGTACACACGCACACACGCACCGGCTAGGGTAAGGGTCTCCACTTCTTTCTCTCTTTGGTTAATTAATCATGACGTGAAATGTTGCGGTATCTGTCGGCAGAACAAGTCCGACGACTCTCATAGTATCGTGTTCATATAACAAGTGGGTGGAATGAGATTTTGTCAACAATGTTGCGCTCCTCCGCCAGTGTTACTGCCCATTACCCCCGGAGCATTGCGGGGATATTTAAGACGGCTGCGGAAATGTGTATTTTTAGATGTGTATCTGTCCTACCGGATTACGCCGCGTTAACACATGTGACAACATCAAATTAACGGTTATGCCTCTCTGAAATTATCCCTTTTTAGGCAGCAGACTCCACCTCCGCGGACCCTCCGGGCCAAAAATGACTCAAGGTGAAGAAAATGCCATTTGCGGACGAGCGGAGCGAACTCTGCAGCAGGCGCGGAAATGTAAGATGGCCCAGGGCAGCGGCGGTGCAACGGCGGACGCAGACGTCAAAACCCTCCTCAACTTCGTCAACCTCGCGTCCAGTGACATCAAGGCGGCGCTCGACAAGTCCGCGCCGTGCAAGCGGTCCGTGGACCACAGGAAGTACCTCCAGAAGCAGCTGAAGCGGTTCTCGCAGCGCCGGGTGCTGCCGCGCTACGTCGCGAGACCAGTCAAGGATACGACTTCTTTCCTTAAAAGGCGCCCCGAGAGCACGTCAAGTGTCAATTCGGAGAGCAGCGGCAGCGGGAGCGAGTCGTGCTCCGAGTCGGGACCGATTTTACCAGAGAACTGCAACCCTATCGACCTGAGCATGCCTGACAAGGACCAGCCGGTGGAGAAGGACCAGGAGCTGGGCCTGCAGGACCCGGCGGCTGCGGACAGCGTGCCACTGAGAAAGCGGGCCCTGCCGGCGTCCTTCTGGCAGGAGCCTGGCGTTCAGAAGGGCCAGTCGTCGGGCTCGGGTGGGAGTCCGTCCGCGGAGGAGTCTGAGTGCAGCCCGGGAAAGCAGGACGCCAAACCCACTGGGGAAACTACCTCGGTACCTCCCAGGATTACCAACCACGGTCTGGACAGATTTCCCACGGCGGTACCGCCGGCGCCGCTCGGGTACCTGCCCTACCACGGATACCGCCCGTACCTCGGGTACGTCCCCCCTCCTCCCTGCGGGTTCGACCCCACGCAGTCGCTCGGACACTCCGCTCAGGGCCTGGCGCAGGCGCCTGGACTGTGCCCACGACCAAAGGAAGCTGCGTGCTCGTGCTGCCTTGGGCAGAACACTACCGTGTCGGCAGCGTACAGTCGTTTCCCGTACGGACATCATCACCCCGGGTACGTGTCGGTGCCTCACAGCCCGCTGGCGGCACACGCGCCCTACTCCCCGCCCTGGGAACGGACAAACCCTCCCTCATCATCATCCTCCTCACCAACTACAACAAAACCCAAAATATGGAGACCGATCCCCACAAAAACTGTCTCAACCTTCCCGACGAGATTTCATCCCCTTCACATGTAGGAGTGGGAAAATTCAGACATTAGTTCTCAGTCCTACTGTGCGGTCTTTTCTTCCAAGGGATTATGATTCTAGTGTGGAAGATTCAGTATCGTGACTCTGCCTTCGTCTCTTGTGTGTTGAAGTGTGTCAGGATTTAAAAGGGTGAGCCATAAAGATGTAGGGAGAAGAAGAATGTGGTTGTTTGTCCAGAGAACATATCCCACAGCATCCCGATTAATTTGAGCTTCTGTGCGGCACGACAACCTGTGGGCAGAGCAAACCGGTTTATTTGCGCCAAGTTTTTCACCCGGCTGTATATTGGCCAATATTGACTGATTAATCCGTGCTCAAACACGCACCGCACGGCCCCGGAAACCCGCTGACCCGGGAGATCGTGTTCCGCCGCACTGCTCGTATTTCTGCCCGTCTTCACCGCAGCAGACAGGAAAGATTCGCAGGAGTTCTTCTCTCGGTAGCCCGGGGGCACAACACAACCCGCCGCCCGACAAACTTGTCCCACAGACTGCTAATGTGACGGGTAGAGCGCGTGTCCATCTGAACTTTCGATCTATTTAAGTCACTCCTAGTGGGACTCCAGTTCATTGGTCGGTTGCCATATCAGTGCTGTACGCTGGTAAGCGTCGATACAATTCACAACATCAAACTGACTTTAATAGACACTTTTTCTGTATAAGTACAAAGTAAGTTTTTGGTTTAACTTACAGAACCATCTTGTGAATTTTTGGTTTCTACCTACATTGTTAACTTAAATGTGTATTATTGTGTTGCTGGTAAATTGTTTGTACACTATTATTCTAAGACGTCCAGGCTTTCATATTTTCCTTGTCTCATTTCCAAGTTCTAGATCCGCCTTTAGTCGTGACAAAACTCTGCCTGGAGCAGACGACAGTTTACAGTAACTTGTTGATAGACTCGCTTGTGAAAACTTGATTCTGCGGATTTATGTGATCCTCCCTTCTTTGTGTAAAGCCTGTATACTGTTATTGTGACGAACTGTTTATGTGAGAGGGACTGGTGGGTGGATGTAAAACCTTCGCAATCCCATCCAGAATACACCGTCAATCGAATGGAAGACTGTAATGTATATGTGTGGTTTTTCTTTTAGTACATGTATTTTAAAGTTAATCTATACTACGTCGTAGTTTGCTTACCTTTTTGGTCAGAGATGGTGCGTCTTTTTGAGTTGTAACGCCTGTATTTTCAGTGGGTGTTTTCGGGAAGAGTAAAAAGTTGTAAGCTATACAAAACAGCAAAAAGGCGTCCAAATCCGGGGCAAAGCCACACATCCGGTCGGAGGTAAACCCGTTTGTGAGCCCGGTCTCAGGACCGCTGTTTATTTACAACCTTGTGTTTACGTCCCTCACGCCTCCCGTGTACCGCCCAGTAATTATTCCGTCTCAGCTGACTGTGAAGAGTTGTTAATAACCACAATAAAGGAGATGGACACCCTCGATAAGCACCCGGAGGTGATTATTAACTTCCCGTCCGACTCTATCATTATAATGAAGCCCGGGGTTAGCCGTGATCAGCTGTGCAGGGGGAGGGATTAACACTCACACAGCAGCTACGGGCCCGGCTAAATATGGAGGTGCCGGGCTAAAACCGACAAAGCGGAAAAGAACCTCACAAGCCTCCATGTGCTGCTTTAGTAGTCTCTATCAGACTTGGTGGGCTGCTGGAAAATAGCTGTGAGCTAAGCGTTGGTTAATTGAAATAAGTTAATTTGCAAGTTCGTGCCCGGAGGCATACGTGGACTTCGGAAACATACATGTGGTAATGATAAAGCAGTAGTCTATACTAGACTCAGTAGAAAAGTAGTAAATTGACCAAGTAGGAGTTAGTTGGCTAGCGGTTGTCGGTTGTATTTCTATGCCTGGCTAATTCATCAGCTGGCAGCCTATTTAGCCAAACTACTAATTTACAAGCAACCCATCGGGAGTCTGACAGAGACTAGAAAGGATAGGTTCGAGTTGAAGTGAGTGCTGATTTTAGTCCTGGTGTAAGTAGGTCATCAGTGCATGGTCTTCGGTCGATATTAGGTTTCAGGTTTAAATTTAGTAAAAAGGGTGGATAGTTTGTAAGGCTCGGAGTAACGTAGGAAATAAGGCAACGAAACTATTGCCATCTTTCAAAGGAAAGGTGTACTCTTATGTCAATGTCGTGCAAATGTAACAGGGTCGAACGTCGTCGATTATAATGCTTTTGTAGCTGCAAATATAACCGAGAAAACTGCAAGAAGGTCACAGAAAGCGAGAGAACCTTTGTTGTGTCAGGACCTGTGAACAAACAAACTTCTATCCTAATCTCCAAGCAGATGTCGGGGTGGTTTATCGTAATGTTTTTCGACCGGGTGGCGGGGGGTCAGAAAACCTTACAGTTTTCTACCCCGGGGCGTCTGGTTGGAGATGACTCTATCCTGATGTTAGACATATCCCAACCACAGGGCACCACAGGACTAACCACTGGCAACACACGTCTCTGTACTCGTGAGCCGAGACCAGCAACACCGAGTGTCGGCTCGCCTGCCTTACATCCGGCCTTAGGCTAGCATCCATAGTAGGCTTCGTCGCTGGCGTAATTCTGTTGCGCTTATCACCGGTACCTTCTTCAAGAAAGATATTTTTCAGTGTCCTTTGTTTGCAGTTTTGTTGTCTGTTCGGAAAGCATAAAGCTTTCAGTGAACATTTATGATATTTAGCAATGTGGTAGGTACTACTGTGTCGCCAAGGAGGTACTGCCACTACTGGCGACACCAACCTCCTTGGCGACACGAAGTACAAGTCCTATTGTGGGACACCTAGCAGCTCCCGTGGTACTGTACCAGAACTTTGTACCTCTCTTTTTCTGATTGTGTGTCAGAGTTATGATTACTGATTGGCTGTCAGAAACCTGTTAGCATTCAGAAAAGATATTCTAATATCACAGACAGGAAAATGCCGTGACGAAGCCTGTTACGGAGACTAGTCTCAGGCCAGAGACGTTGGCTTGGCTTGCTGGCCTCGGTGCAGACAGGGCTGGGGATATAAGTTTGGTCCTCCTTCCGAGCTTCCGAGGTTTGACAACCCGCTCTATTAACCCCACATTAGGCCGTAATCCGCACACAGGTCGGGTCGTGAGCAAATATGGACGCCCGTCCTACCGGCCTGCCCGGCCATTGGCTCGCGCCGGACGAGAACACGCACCGAGGACCATTTATAGACACCTACATATGAGAAGAACCAACGCTTCGTCTTAATGGGTACACTCCTTCTTCAAGGAAAAAGCAGTTTCAAGACACAGACACAAAACTAGTCTAGGACGGTCTACCATGCAAATATATATCAACACAAGCTTAAACTCGAGCCTACTGTCATTTTTCTGATGATTCGCCAGTACACATGTGAGAAGAACCGAGGATTTGAAAAGAAACGGGAGCAATATAGATAAATATAATAGTACGTAAAACTTTTGCTCCCGTTTCTTGTCAAACCTACGCCTGGCGACGATATCGTCGCGGAAAACATAGCACGGATCGGACGATGTATGTGATGGAGCTTTACTGTTATTTTCCCTGTGAGTCAACTTCAATGCAGAAGAACAAACTCAGTTTTAAAAGCAGACACTTCTTCTTAAGCATCCTGGGGACTGATTTACTGTGAAGCCTGTGTTTGTGGCTTCACAGTTCTCGTCACAACACCGACAACTCTATGTACGTGAGTATATCTGACAATTTGCGCGTTCTTCGTATGAATGATAAACTTTCATACTTTAATATTTGAATGTTCGACTTTGCCTTCGAAAGCTCTGTTTGGATATTAATCAGTGTGTAGAAAGTGTCCTGTGAAGAATGATTGAGTGGAGCCTCTTCCGTCATGAGACTCGGCACGTCAATGTCCAGCCGTAAGGGATATGATACGTCAGAGGCCGTGCTGGATGCCGACATGACGTCCGCGGCATTTCTGCCGTCCGCGCGTCCTGACGGGTCGGAACAGTTGGGCCGCCGGCATCTGTCGCGACCTGCGTCAGCGGCCAGGGCGGAATGGTACACGCGACACTCGGCGTCGCCATGGCAGCGTCGTAACGATGTCCGACCCTGCAGAAATTCAAAACTATTCCGGGCCTGCTTTTATCAAAGAGTTACGGCCTTTTGTCTGTCCCCCAGAGATATTTGAAGTCTATATTTTGACGACGACTTCTCTTACACGTACGGGTCACTGTGTCAACTGTATTAGTGAGGAGCATATTCGACTTTATGATCCACGTAACTACTTACGGCGCGGTCACATTCGTCATGGGCTGTCGTGCGATTTTGATGTCATTTCGAGCAGTTTGTGACAGAACCAACTACCGACAAAGATGCCTTTTCCCTAACAAGAAAGCTTAATTTTGTACGATGCGCGATTATCCCTTAGCTTGTGGTCGCACGATGATCGTACAACGAATTTGACCGTGCCCTAACGTCATATCTGAGAACTCTTTCAAAATATTTACAGTTATTGTGCATGTGTCACGTTTCCGTCAGCCCTACGTCTGGCACTTCCCCACAGCAGCAGGCGTTTCCCTTAGCCGGCTAAATGCCGCGTCATATTGAAGAGTTATATTTTTGGTGGTGTAATTGATTGATTGCCGTGGACTATGCCAGGCGCGCGGGATATGGCGCTATCCTCGATAGAATGTCGTCACCCCTGGCAACCGCGTGCAGACGACATGCCATGCCGGCGCGGGGGCAGGGGTGGGTCAGCCCGGGAGCGTAGCCACTCCGCGGGGTGAATTGGCATCCACGACAGGGACGGTATCGGCGAAATATAGACTGTCACCCGGCCTGAAGTAGGGCAAGACGGACGGCGGTCCTGATGAAGGCTGAAGAAGGCATTTAGCGTCCGGGAGAGGCGCGGATCCGTCGGAGCGACTGCGATGAGAAGTATGGAGGCGGCACTGCTCTGTTGTTCTTTACTAAGTCGATAACAAAAATGCCTGTCGTGCCCGTCATACCAGCGGCAACAAGTTTAAAATGGCCGGGTCATACCAGCAATGGCAATATTGACGGCTTAACTCCCAGTTAGAGACCCCGGGCGGCTCGGTCTCTCAAGTCTCCCGGTTCCCACATTTTTGACAGGGGAGAGAGAAATGCCTCGTCTTCTCGTGACGCTGCCGATACGGGCTGAGATCGGCGGCAGAGAAAAGAGCGAACTGTTCATCTTTATTTTTCTCCCCAGCACAGATACACGACCTCGGTTGTTTTGGTAACCTTATAATGGATTGACACAGTCAGGAGGGCGGGAAATGGACACTCACGATCGCGAGCGGAGTTATAACGGGACCCTGTCGTCTCGATGACTCAGGAAATTTGACTTTATATATACACAAATGTACATATATATATATGCTTTCTATATATATATATTTCTTGAGGACACTTTGAATCAATGTCTTCACCACTGAAGTACATTTGCTACAGAATGCAAATAAACGTTGCATATACTAGTAGTGCAAATAAACGTTGCATATACTAGTAGTATGATGTGACATATATGTACTAGTATATCTGTAAATGACCCTGAAATGATGGCATGCATCACAGAAATGGTTACGTCGGTCGCGCCAAACTGATGATAGTATACTATTGAGCTGATGACGTCGATAATATCAAACTGATGATATAACGTTACAATCATAACACTGTTGAACCGATGACGTCGATCGCACCAAACTGATGACATTTCAGGCCACTTTACCATTGAACTGATGACGATGATTATTGCATTGATAACGTGTCCCACGATCTGACGACGTTGACTTGTGAACTACCGACGGTTGGCCTGCCGGTGGGAAAGGTCAATGTGTCGGTTGCCCCAGTGCGGGAACAAGTGCTCCAAACATCACACGTGTCAAAAGTCCGTGAAACGGTTGTGTTGAAGGGATGACAGATGAATCCGTTCTGTTTCCGTAACTTTAACAAAAGATATACGTTACGCGCCAACCATTGACAAGGGTACAATACGGCGGGAAATGTGTTACATCTGGGCGGAATACTTTACTGTCAAATGAGAGGTTAGGCATGTTTTGGACGTTCTTAAAAAGCTTTTTAGGCTTAATATTTCGTCCGATTTTCTTGGAGTATCCCAAACAGGCCTAATCTCTGCTTGTAGAGTAGGAATTCTTCGGAGTCGGAGTCCTTGTCTTTTCTTTCCTCTCACTCGTGTGTGGCTCTCGGCTTTTCCCCTTGGACGATGGCAGTTTATCACGCGCTGATGTCTTCATTATAAAGGGCCGGTCTGTCGGATCGGGCGGGAAGATGGAGGACCTCGGGGTCACATTGTATTTCCTTTGACTGAAGGACGGAAATCGCCGGGACCAATCGATGCGGGGCAGCATGATAATCGGAAATGGAACACTGTCGTCTGGGAAAATTGATCATTAAGCTAACATTAAGTTAAACGGTTATATGTTACCTACATTTCAAACCTTTTCGTTTTTGTTTTGCTGATGATTTATAGAGAAGAACATTCCATCTTTTCATGCTCTTTTCATGCTCCAGTCACCGAGTCCAGTGTTGGTTTGTAAAGTTCAGCTTTCTTCGTACTAAGTAACTTATATGTACATATGTAAAAAAAAAACAAGCCTTTGACTACAATTCTTGAAGTGTGAAGTGACTGCGCATATCTTATGAACGCATCTCACTAATACGTTTCAAGTTGAAGTTTTCAGCTATTTGTTTATGTTGTCCCTCTTTGAAGCATCTTTTTATGTAACTATAGTTCCTGATTATTATTATTTTTTTTTACAAACCAATATAGTAGGCTCTATGGTGCCCAGCAAGGCCCAGTGATATGTTAATAATATCACAACTAAGGCGAAACAGACATTGGGAGTGATTAAACGTAATCTGTGGGCATGTCCAACGAGAGTAAAATCACTTGCATACACGTCACTTGTAAGACCGAACCTAGAATACGCTGCGACAGTATGGGATCCATATACAAAGAAAGACAAAGACAAATTGGAAAGGGTACAGAATCAAGCTGCAAGATTCTGCATGAACAACTATGTAAGAGGTGCTAGTGTCACGGAAATGAAAAGAAACCTACAGTGGACCTCACTTGAAGACAGAAGAAAGATGTCTAGACTATGCATGATGTACAAAATGACTAATAAACTGGTGGATGTCCCAACTACTAAGTACCTAATACCAGCCCAGAAGAGAACAAAAAATAGCCACGCATTCAAGTACCAGAGTTATCAACCAAGGATTGAGGTGTTCAAGAATTCATTCTTTCCTGGAACTATCGCAGAGTGGAACTCACTGTCACCAAGTACAGTAGGGGCACTGTCAATAGATAGCTTTAAACAATGTCTAGAGCTAGAAGTTCAAGGGTTAGGTGTAACAAGTCGATCGGTGTAATATAGCCAGCTGCCGCCGCGCCGCGTGCCTGCGAAGCTGGTGTGTTACGCCGAAAGGCGGTTATACCGGCTATACAGATACAGATACAGTGAGGTTTTGCCATATGATGTAAGAATACATCTCACGTTCAGGTCGACACCATTTTAGGAAGGAGGTCAGCACTTCAAAAAGATATTGAACGGGACAATCGTTATTGACAGTCATTTTCTGTCTGGCCATGTTAGAACGTTACAATTCTCCCTGCCAACGTCTGCTTGGAGAAGATGGTGCTCCCGGCATGCTCTGCGAACCAGACTGTCAAGATGGCGGCCGCCGGGCAACATTTCCACATCATCGCGGCGATTTTCCTGTCCGCTGCCTCCTACTCGGCCCCCTTGGAGGGAGTCCCTAACAAGATAGATCCCAGATCGTGCGGCAAGCCCGATGAAACGCAGAAGCACGCCATGGCCCTCCCTGTGACGCTGTACGAGCCGATCGGGCCCGTGTTTGGGGGGTGTCGGGTGTGGGCAGGGCACATCCCCCCTAACTCCTATCTCGGCCTGGGGCTTGGGGAGGTCGCCAAGGAATGCGGTAAGCAGAGTTTCCAAGTATTTTCAACTGTGTAACTGTTGCACAAATCTCCCGGAACAACAACGTATCCGTTACCGCCTGTTTGTGTGACAGTGTCGTCCATTTTCGCTGTTTTGACAACGTCAGACTTTTCCTGTTCGTCTTTGTTCAGTTGCACGATTTGACCGATATCCATGTAGTACGAACAACAGATCCACACCTGTATGGTAGATCACTAGTACGATAACTCAGTATCGCCAGACAGATACTACATTAAGGTCGTGCTTCGTGTTTGTTATAAACAACCAGCTGGTGTTTCCAGGTCAAAATTTATGTTGCAGCCGTAACGTTTTGATATAAACAAGGACAATGTGATATAGACAACTTGCCATGCACTCCAGGTCATAATTTGTGCCAAGTTGTGCACAAGAAAATTATGGTGCCGTTTTGTTTACAAACAACACAGGGAGAGGAACAACTTAAATCAAGATCTGCAATTTATTATAATTGTCTTTAAAAATACGCACAACTTCCACAAGAAGACTGGGAATTCAAAGAGATCAAATGCCACCAACAATCAGTAGATCAGATTGATGTGTTTGTGTATTTCAGTACCTTCCACTCTTTATCAAACAACATTAGGAAAAGCATAGAGTAAAGCATAGAGTGATGATAGACCTTTTCATGGGTCACTTGATTTTGGGTAATGCAGGGGGCAAACACAACATTACCATGACAACACGTATGCAGGATATCATGTTACCATGGCAATGGTTTTGTTTGCCCATGCATTAACCAGAATTCTCCATTTTTCCTATCATGAAAATGGGTCTGCAACATGATCTATTGGTCTCTGCTATACAAGAGAACCTGACTAAAAACCATGTCTGATGGGTTAAATAGTTATCGGCAAGTTTTGCATTATTACATGGTATCAGTCAGACTGTCAACAATTTGAAAGGCGAGTGGTTGTTGTTAGGTGATATACCACTCCTGTGATCAGTTTCAGGAAATCCTGTTGTCCAAATTACTGGTGCTGGAGGGTAAGTTGTCTGTTTCACCAACACAGTGTTGTCACAACAGAGTTAAAGTAACCAGAAGTCTTCCTCTAGACTTCCTGGATGTTGGGATGGTTTTGAGAAATAGAACAGGTGTTTCTGCAGAGTTTACACCAGCTCACATGTGAGCTATATAAGGAATACTAGTAGCCTTCTTCCTGCCAACTAGCCCCATAACCCACAGAGAATGGGTAGCCAAACAGCTACGACAATGCCAGGATCTTTTTACTTGTTTCCTGTACAGAACAAGGCAGCCTGTCCACCATATCAGGCCTGTGTTCCATCCTGGGGAAGAATGGTGCAGCCCAGGACACCTGTCAGCGAGACCAGGAGTCTCCAGCAACCAGCATGCTCAGGGTAGGTCTGGCTGGTAACATTTCTAAGTGATAACAGTGGTGTTTTATAAAGAACAGGGTACAGTCAAACTTGTACAAGTGGCCACCTCCACATTAGAACCACCCGGCCAATTTGGCCACTTTTTGGTGGTTAGAAAATCCCCTAGATAATTTGTCCCATTGACACATGCAGTAAGAATCCTGCCTATAGTGACCACCTGTTCACATGGACCAGATTTCATGGGTTGCTTGAGTGGTGTTCTTCAGCAGTTTTGACTGTACTACTACATGTATATAAAAGTGTACAGACATTAAAAGTAAATGAACTGATGCTGAGTAACCTAATTGCTGAGGCTTAAAATATTTTTACTATTCTCACTATTTGATGTTCTTCTTCTTCTTGTTGTTTACCCTCGATTTTTACTATTCTCACTATTTGATGTTCTTCTTCTTCTTCTTCTTTACCCTCGATGTTCTATAAACTACATTTTTTTGTTTGTACATGTACATCATGTCTTAAATGTGCACATCTGCCTGTGTGTACAGGAATATGCTGCTGTTCTGTTGGACAAGGGACTGGTTCCACTGGTCAGCTCTGGCAATTCACAGCTGGATACAGAAATAGGTACATGTAGTCTTCTTAACACTTAACCACAGGTAGGTACCATTGAAAACATGTAATGTATCTAGAGCAGAAGAGCTAAAAGCAAACTTCTTGAAACTCAACTAGTTTTTTTTTACCACAAAACCTTACCTTAGTGAGGAGCCATTGTAAATCATCTGTAAACAGTTTTAGCAGGTTGGTAAATAACTGAATATTTAGATGTTTGCCACACAATACAAAACTGTGTATCTGCACTACGTCACAAAGCAGTAAGGAGTAGTAGAACCCATCATGTCCAGAGGAAGGTAGCTGAGGGGTTCATGAAATGTCGACAGACACAAAACTTTGGGTATACAATTATCACTTAATAAGTCTCAAGAGGTGGAAGTGGCATTTGAAGTCATGAAGAGTTCTTGAGTGGAAAAATGATACCACCACAAGTGGTGCTTGGTAGCCACTATAGCCATGATTGTTCTGCAGATTAGGTAACATGATAGTGAATGGGATATTGTTCTTTCATTGTTAATAGATTAATCCCCTCAGTCAAACTGAGATTGAGTTTCCAAATGTCTGGTTGAATCCTGTTACCATGCCATTACAGAGAACTGGCAGCTCGATCAGAGCCAATCAATGTTCTTGCATATTCATTTTTCTATAAGTAAGCAGCACACTATTTGAGAGAGAAGCAGTTTGAAGAGCTAGAATAGGATGGATACCAGGCTAGATTGACACTGCCAAGCCTCTGACATGTTTTTCTTTTCTCACAGCTTTTGGTATTGTGCTTGCAAACACTGGATCTCCAGATGAGTCCATACAACATTTTTCTGCATTTCTTAAGGTAAGAGAAAATGATACTAGTATGCAATGTCCTTGTGATGTCTTTGCACCAGCCTAGTTGGCAGATTTCTGAAATGATTCCTTAATCATTGAGGAAATTTAGTTTTGAAGTGTTGTCTCTACTTGAACTGGGATCCTTATTTTGTTGCTCCCACTTCCTATCGCTGATTCTTTGAGAGTAGCAAGTGAGGAAGAAATAACTTAACTGCACAAACATGTTTATTGTTTTCTCCTTATTTTGCTTGAAAGATGTTGACAGTTGAGAATTCACATTTTTTGTTCCAACCTTGTAGGATCACCCCGATGTTATAGCAGCTTATCATGGCCGAGGGTCAGCGTACGCTCGGAAAGGTTTGCAGGTATGGGAGCAGTTACCTTTCTGAGCTGCCATGCAGTTGCAGTGTCTACAAACAAATAGACTTTACAAGTTTCATGTAATAGTCAAATGAAAACAACAGAGTTGAGTAGCAATGCTGAAAGCGACTTCAGCTTCAAAAAGCTTGTCACAAACAAATATTTTGCTACCGGTACTTATGGTATTATTTTTTAAAGACACTTTTGAACAATCTCTCATATCATCTATATTGCCTACTATGCCATAACAGTCTGGTACCTTAACCTTCTCCCTGCTGACTTCTGTAACAAGTAGACACTGATTTTACCTTGTTAACATTCCCCAGTACAAGATTAATGCAGAACTGGCCCTGGCCGACTTCACTAAAGCCATTGAGCTGGATAGAAAACTGGCAGAGAGCTATGAGAGAAGAGCTGAGGTAGGAAGCACTTTTCTGACTCTGTTACTTTTGGATAACAAAGTCTACACACCCACGTACATAATCACCTGCCAATGTCTCAGGGCAATATTGACTAAGTCTACTTCACACTGCTGCTTGGTGTTGCTGGACTGTGAGTTTATATCCTCCCTCATCATGGTTCAAAGAACTAGTCAAAGGACTGGTATCAAGTGAAACTATTGACAGATGTGGTACTTTTGTTAAGAAATTAGCAACAGAAACTATTTGCATAAATCTTCAATATTCCCATAGGTGCATAGCCACATGATAAATTAAATTAATAAAATTAATCAGTCATAGTTATGTACCTTGATTACAATGAGCAGTCCTGTTGATATCTTTGTTGTTGTTGCTGTAGATCCTGTCCCCCATAGGACGGGGCAGAGACGCCATCGTAGATCTAGATATCGCCATCAACTTAGAACCAACAGCAAGGCGGTACTTCAGGAGGGGAACCCTCAACTTCCTACGAGAGGTCAGTCGGCGTAAGCCCGGTATCCATCCTGTTCTAGCTCCAGTTCACTCATCTAGTCACTTCCTCACTGGATATAGATAAACCCTTGTCTCCATTAAAACATGTCACCCTTACAGCATTCATCATTTCAGGTATCAAACATTTCTAAGAAGCAATATAGTTGAAACTCCGTTACCTTGTTGTTACTAATGACCATGCAACTTGAAGCCAATCAGAACCCTTGCTTATCTTTTTGGCAAATGTTTAAGCGCCAAATGTCTATTTTCTGAATGTGAGGCCATGATTTTCACTTCACTTTCCTTCACAGCATTACACCTCAGCCCAGGCAGACTTTAAGAAATCTCTGGAGAAGGACAGCAACCAGCCAAATGTCTTACACTTTCTTGGGCTGGCTGTCTTCCACCGAGGAGCTTTAAGGGTGAGAACAGTGTTGTCCTCTTTTACTTCTGTTATAATTTCAGAAGATGATGATGATGAATTTTGGAAGACATTAGGCATTGTGATTTTTCCTCTCAGATATATAAAATCAAATATATAACACTGATATTCTACTCAAACTACCAGGAAGCTGCCAAAATCTTTGAGAACGTCATAAAGGCCAACCCTGAGTATGTGGAGGCAATAAGAAATCTTGGACAGGTGTACAGGTAAGAAACTTGAACCAAGTTTACAGGTGAGAATTTTGGATAGGAGTAAATGGGTGTGTTTTTCTAGTTATTGGTTGATATGTAAAGAGCACATCATGGTAATTCCAGCAGGAGAGTTCAACAGGAAAATTGTTAATTTCAACTCTCCAGCATTGTCGCACTGGAGTTGTAAGCCTTTGTTTATCTATTTTCTTTTATTTGCATTATGTTTATGTATTATTCCTGCGTGTCCAGGGCACTTCTGTGAAATCATTGAGCTGGTCTAAAGAAAACAGAAATAAATAAACAGATACTTCTGACTTCAAAGCGACTTATGTACTTTGCTGTATGTTGAACTCTAGGGAGCTGGGAGACTATGAGAAGGCCATGGAGCAGTTCAACACGGCGCTGATCTTGGACGACAAGCACGTGCAGGGTTACCAGTTCCGCGGCTCGCTCTACTACCACAGCGGGCGGCCGTTCGAAGCGTTACGTAACTTCAAAGTAAGAGCGGGACCCTTTGTGTCAACCGTGCCCAACATGAAACAGTCTGGCTTGTTGTGAAAAGTCTGTCTCATGATGTTGGCATTGAGAGAAGAAAGTGATGCTTTCACGATAAGTTCACGGTTAAAACAATTCTGTAGTCAGCCAATGGACATGCATATTTAAGGTGTCATGAACTTGCAACTTGTATAGGTCACAGAAAAATAAAGCACTGCAAACGTTTTTAAGATTTACAGTAGTAATACTATGGCTGTTGATGACAGGAGCCAGATATATGCCTAACAATAGATTTGAATTAAAAGCACAGGTGTTGTCAACTCATTGAATAAGTGACAAAGGATGGTGGAGAAAACACAGGCTGTGTTGAGGAAAGGTGCAGTTGACTTTGTCATAACCCTGTGGCATTGAACACCTTTGTGGTGTAACCCTAGCCAGTCCCATAACAGCCAGGGATTCAGACTGTTGCACTGGTTTACACTCGTGTATTGCCATGTAAACCTCCTGTAATTTCAAGTCTAAATTGGGAATCTGACAAAAATACACTCTTGCTAACATTCCTATTGATACACTTTGTCTTAATTATCATAAAAGATCCTATCATTAAGGTTGAATAAAAATTATTGAATGGTTCTATTACCCAATATGAACCCAACCTGTTAAAGTCTAATTTAAAAAAAAGTTCAGAAATTCACTCTTATTGAAACACTTTAAAAAGTAATTATAGAAACTGACAAGTTCTATCTTGAGTAGAAAATGATTGAATGGTTGTATCATCAGACTAACTAACTTTTTTGTAACCACACATTTGTTGGTCTGCAGAAATGCCTTGCGTTGGAGCCACACAACGAACCCTGTCAGTACATGACTGGTCTGTCCAACTCTGCGATTGGTCGCTTTTATCAAGGGATCAAGGCACAGACAAAGGTAAGTACATTTTGTACTAAGGATTACCTCCGAATCATTTTGACAAGAAGTACAGCCAAACCTCACTAGTGACCACTGGGCTTGGAGAAATGGTCACAAGAGGGATATTATTAATTCTTGGCTTAATGTGAAAGACAATTTAAGAGAATACCAAAAAGTGGCCACAATGGTCAGATGGCCCTACTGTAGAGATGGTCACTAGTACAGGTTGGACTGTACACTCTGTATGCATCACGGCCAGTGGTTTTAAATTGAAAAAAAAGCTGAGCTGGATTGTGGCACATTTCTGATCTTTTAACAACTTGATTTCCCTACATACTACGTTTTTATTTTGATATTACAGATTCCCTTATTTTTTGAATCTGAGAACCAAGTAACCAAACTAGTGTGGCCTGAAGTAAAAACAAACCATAGAGTTCTGGCCCTGGAGTGGCTGATCAAGCTGGGTTTCCCCTGCAGTCTGTCCTGTAACTTGTTGTAGTTCCTCAGGGTCAGGTGTTTGGCACTGGTGCATGTCTCCATGTCAACACCACTTCTTAACACTGCTACCCCTGACTGCCTCTCACTACAACACTGCCTGCCATTGTTCTGTGCTTAATTACATCAGACCAACCACAGAAACACAACAGCTGACTACAGAAGGGCTTGTATGCTTGACTTTGTATCAGACCCGGAAGTTTTGGGTTGCCTTGTGCAAAGGATTTGTTGACACTAAAGTGCTTAGAAAAAGGGTTGACCTGTTGGATCAGTTTTCACATGATAGAGGTTCTCTCTTTTTACTAGTATACATGTAGGAGGCAGAGTGCCTCTGATAACAACCACTTTGCTTTTAAATCAATGTTGTGACAGTGTCAGTGGGGTTGTCCAGATTGCTCACAATAGTGTTGATCAAGTATAGCTGTCACAATTTCTGATGGTAGCATGATGTACATGATGTACATGTAGGGTGGCATCTTGCACTTTCTTGTAAATTGTAGAATCAAAATCAAGAAAACTTGACATCTTTAAAATCTTTAAAATTTGGGAACATTGGCTATTGGGATTCGAAATTCCCACCTGCAACTTGCATTTACCAGTAGCAAGAAATATTTGATATTGCAGAAAAATATAAATAACTTGGACATTGGGAAGCAAGAAGAATACAGGCACACAGGAATCACATATTGCAGAAATATTAATTGAGTCCTTAGGAGCCTGCAATGGAGGCTACAGAATGAGGTTCTCTATGACCATCCTTAGGAGCCTGCTGTGGAGGCTATAGCCTGAGCTGATGTAGGACCGTCCTTAGCACACATACCCGCTGCCATCGCCATGGTAACAGGGCATGCCAACATGCACCCTTACACGGTGGGAGGTTTTGCCCACCTCCCCGCAATATTGCTGGCATGGAAATCCTGGGATAGTTTTGGCAACACTGAGGACGTGTTGGGCTACAACTATTTCAAACACATGCACATGGAGCAGGATCAGTAAATCTTCATCTGAAGTATCTTTGACTTTTTGTAGTATGTTCACAGCAACAAATCTTTAAACCTTCAAACAGGCACTGGAATTTCCATTGTCATTGTTTCAAGTACAAACTCAAAGATGCAAACTCCTAATCTTCACCATGCTGCAGAATTTCGGTGCTGCAGACAGTAATGGATTTACAGTCCATGGTGACTGTTATAGCTAGAGCTATCATATAACCCCAGTGCACTGTCCTGTCTGATCAGGGAGTTAGCGGGGTGAGATATTCCCATCATGGCAGAGGGTGGTGTAGAAGTTCAAGGCAAACCTGAGACAGCTACAGTAGATGTCCTTTATAGGTCTCTGTTAAGGCATGCCTTCTATCTGTGTATTTGCTCCCATATGTTTCACAATTGGATCCATTCTCATTATTGTCCTTGTTTCCTACGTAATAAAAAAATAGATATTCATTAAACATACAGGCCCTGGTGAAGGACACTTGAAGTACAAATAAGTGACCTTCCAAGGAAGAACTCATGACCTCTTGGTCCAGAGGCAGGGTCCCTAACCACTGGACCTCTTATGCTACTACATGTCATGTCCAGTGGTTAAGTATGAATGTTGTGTATGTGGAGCCCACAGTTACGGCCAAAGTCAACATACTGGGGACATATTTCTGCCAAGTGCACATTCATCACTGTTTGATGGGTACATGCATGCCAGTCTCTGTAAAGAACTGCTGGAAAAAACGGTATGAGTTGCCATGGCAATGCCTGTTACCGTGGTGACCAGAATTCCCACCTGTTCTGCTCCTGATGGTTGGTTTTTTGTTTCTGTGCAGGTTATGCTGAACGAGCCAATCCCTGGGCAGAAAGTCTCCGTAGAATACCAGAAAGTTTACTACTTGAGAGGTGAGTTGTACTGGGACAGGTACCTAGTTATTGTTTCATAAATACTCACACATTTATTTTCACACATACACATGCACACACATGTACTTTCACACACACACACATACACACATACGTACACATGTACACAGATGTGTACACCCTAACACAGGCACACGCACACATACACATACACAGGCACATGCACACATACACGTGCACATGCACACGCGCACTGGTCCATTTTTAGTAAAGCAGTTGATTGACACAGACACCTACACAGAAGTTTAGTGACACCTGTTTTCCCTTGAATGTGGGACTTCTCTACAGGGGGTAGCTATAGGCACTGCAGGGGGGGGTCTATAAGCAGGCAGGGGGGCTATCAGCTACAGGGGGATCTACAAACACAGCCGTGTCCCTCAGGCCTGCTGCTGATGCTGCGGGGTGCCTCATATGCAGGGCAAAACTTCAGGGGTAAAAATAAACATTGCACAGGACATGAAACCTTTTACCATAGACTGGGTTTCAGGCATGGATGAGTGTGATCTCCAAGCAGATTTTGGGGGGAAAGATTATACAAACATTTCATGAGTGTGCTGGGCTTTCCCAGCAGGGATAGCCTTTCCCCTAGACTAACCTATCTAAGATGACACCCAGCAGTCCAACAACTGCTTGCAGCTTGGATGCTAGTCTTTAGCATGCTGATATAGCTGTTGGTTACAGGGATAGGCAGCAGGGACAAGGTTAGACTGGTGAAGTGTAGCAGAGTAAGGACAGATTTAATTCTTATATTTATTGGTTCAACTGACAAGGAGCCAAGGTTGCTCAACTAACCATCAGCTACTATTAAGGGCTAACTTTGAAGTAAGCCACTGTAATAAAGCCTTGCTCTTTTCAATCTCTCACCATAGCCCAGGCTTCAGGCTTGCAGAGGTGTTATGTATGCAGTGTTTATATGCAGTAAGCCAGTCTGGACCCATCACCTGTTACACTGCTCTGCAGCTGTGACAACAACCCAGGCCCAGATTAACCTCAGCAAAAATAACATAATTTACGAGCTCAAGTGGTGGCCTCAGCCCTGACATGTTTATCTATGAAAGCATGTGAGGGAATTTCCCTGCCAGTGGAAGATGCTGTGCTCTTAAAATGGGAGATCGCTTCAGGTGCCCTTTGGCATTTTAATAAGACTGTAGTGTGCAGTGAGGCTTTCCCTGCATGTGAATGATGGCTGTCAATTGTAATAAGTAGTACATAGTTTCCTTTGTGGAGTAGCATAGTGTGCTATTCCCCATACAAAGTGGCCTAACTTTTAAACTTGGGGTTCAGCATAGAATAGTTTCCCTGCCATATATTTTGTGGTATTTACAGTTGCACAGTAAAGTTGGATTGATTGATTGATGTATGGCCATGACATGGAGCCTGCTTGCTGAAGAAGCTACATTGTATGTCAGCAAAACTGGATCTGGCTAAATCCCAGCCTTAAACCAGTACTGTCTGGTGACAATTCCGGCATGAGTCAAATGTTGTCACCGAGGTTTATTGGCTTGAGGACTTAAAGCCTACCCTATATAACTACTAGCACTGTGACCCAGACTTCTGCAGGGATCAAAGCAGATCAGGCCACATTTTCACTCATTTCTCAAAGATTCGGCCCAAATCAGTTTTTGGCCGACAAGAGGGCGGCAGAAATGACTCCTGCCTGTCCCAGCCACCCCAACTACCTCTTAATGTACTGTGTGATGAAAATTCCGGCATGAGGAAGGTTACATAGCAGGGATGTGTGGTGGGCATGCCGGGCATTGCTGGGGGTTTTGGGCTGTGCTGGGCAGGAGGCTGGTATGGAGAGGCGAGGGCCGTCACGCTCCCCCACAAATTTCCACCTCGTTGTCAGGACTGCCAGTATCAATAATTCTGATCTCTTACCGTCTAAATTCAGCAACTACACGATCAATTTGGGACCTCGGGAGGCTTTTCTCTGTTTGATGCAAAACTCCAAGCTATGTCGCAGGTTGTGGCATTAACCTCACTTCCCCCAACGTTGCCTTGTTAGCTCATGCCAGCAATGGCAGGTGCACGTCAATAATTGCAACCCAATTTCTTAAACCTTCTCCCATTGGTAGCCATTGGTACAAATTTGGTACCAATGGTTACCTTAGCAACCAAAAAATTAAATTAGTGTGGTCTCACTTATGATGCAGAGGAGAGCAAATTTCATGGGCGAGGGCAGACATGGTACAGTCTAGTGGTAACAGTATCAGCCAAAAAAGCCATGACTGTCCCTGAATGCTCATCTTGAAGCCCACCAAATGGCTACCTCAGCAGGCTGAAGGTTAACTGTCCTGACAGTTTGTCAACCTCTCCTTGCTGTCTAATCAAATCCCGGTTGACACGTCCCTGCGAAAGTGTCTCGTGTGCACAGGGGACCCGGCGTTTGAAGTCTGGTATTTCAGACGGGGGCGGCGAGATCAAAGACCGGGGGGGCTTGGCGCGATTCTGCGGCGTGTAAATAGCGGGGTCACCCAAAAACTGCAGACAGTCCATGTATCAAGTATCCGACATGGTCAAGGGCAAGGGTAACAAGGACACTGTCCCCTGGTGGAGACATTGTCTTTCTTCTAGTTGTCAGTGGTAGATAAAACCAGATATAATAGGATATGAACATTTTGTCACAATGATTTATATAAGAATAAAAAGGAAGCACACTTTGTTTTAGAATGCTCACTATATACACAATGGGCAAATTAGCATTATTTTCCTACTTTTCTACTTTATTTATCTAACTTAATCCATTTTGCCTATGTTGGCCTGGAATATGCAATAAAGTCAGTTTGCTGTTACATGTACAAGTTTTTGTACCAGCAGGTACAATGAAGGCCACGTGTTCATTAAACATGTCTTTGTTTATTCAGAAAACTCCAGATACACCCATGCCCACCTGGACGTCCCTGCCAGAGAGTTCAGCCTCGATGCAGACCTAAATGGGGACTTCAAGGACAGATGGGCAAAAAACTTAATTTTTACTGTGGAGGTAGGTTTGATATAGCCTGGTCAAGCAATGCTTCACCACTGTTGAAAGGTTGGGTCCTTTATAAATTTGCATCATTTTGGGAATGTGTAAGAGATCAAACTTCAGAATGCTGGTTCAAACTTGTTACCATGCTGGTACAAGGATCGTGTTACGTAGAGCAAATCAGAATCGTAATGAGTCAAACAATTACATTGTGCTGCATAAAACCAACCCACACTCCTGACTCAGTCAGAGTTCTCACCTCTGTTTTACAGAATTATACAGAACAGCCAGGACTGCAGCCTCAAATAAGGTAGGCATGGTATCCACCTTCACACTGTATCACTTATTTTTGCAATTTTATAAGAACATTTACAGGTGTTGTGGTAAGTCTTGTAGATGTAAATAATGGTAATGGTTACTTTGCAAAGAAAATTGTATCCAATTTAGAATCTGTTTTGGAAGAGGAAACAAGAAAGAGCAGTTTTATCTCTGTACTGTGTTGAGATGTCTCTGTACTGTTTCGTGTGTTGACAGTGATGTCGTCACATCAGACTTCTCGTCCTACTCACCTGAGGTCCAGAAGATGGTCTGCAGAGCGTACTCCCTGGGACAACTCATGCAGTTTACGGTACGACACTTGTGTTCAAAAAATTTTCTCCGTCATGGTTGTGTGTCATACAACCAGGTTAGGAACAAAGGCTGCCCTGGTAACTACATATAATACAATGCAGCTGATACAATGTATAACTATGGTATTACTAATCTGACATGTACATCTCATAAAGATTGATATCTTTACACCAGTTGTGACGTTGAGTGACTATCCTAATGGTAGACACTTGCAATGATGATGATGAGAATTATGTTGATATTGTATCTCTTGAGATGTTTGTGTTTTCCATGTTTCAGGTGGACGGGTACCTCCCCAACGTGCGTGTGCACACGGCTATGGGCCTGGCTGCCATAGAGGTCATGCAGACTGCCCAGGCCTTCTGGAAGGCACCCAAGACTTCTAAAACACCAATGGGTATGAGACTCCATACTGACATTTTAGTTCTCTTTTAATAGGTGTACGTTGAAAGGTTTTTAGGTGTGGAGTTAGGCATTTTTGTCCTATTCTTGAGCAAGACTTGTGGAGTGTTGAGTAGTTAGGCAAATTTCAATGTGTGGTTGAACTGAAGTGCTACTAAACGTTTTATATAATAGTCCCAAGTCCAATATTGTATGTGAAAATCTTGAATCATGTTTCAACTCACTTACAGGTAAAAAGTTCCATTGGCGAGACATTTTTGATACAGCGGTCAAATGGAGAAGGTGGGTCTGCCTTTTAACAGAAATGCTTCATTTTCTCTGCAGCAATAAGCTGATTATCATAATGTTTTCTTTTTTTTTTGGTATAAATTCTTATTTGATTTGAAGCAGCACAGTACAAGGGGATGCCCAGGCTGCACAGGTGACTTTGGGCACCACATATTCATAATAAGCAGCTCTAATAAGATAACATAAATAATAATAGTACATGAAATAGAAATACCGGTATGAACTATTATGCTACACCAGTAAGCTTTCCTTCAAGGTCAGAGGCCAATATTTTTCAAAACTATGTTCAGGTACTTGCAGGTGGGTATTTCAAGCCCTTTGTTATTCTGGAAGGTCAACAAGACTAAGACTCGTTACATGTATGTGTTAAAGGTGGCTTCCCTGCTTTCTTTACAATTAATTCATCCTAAATGTCTGTCCCTCCAGACTAGTTGATCCCGAGCAGCCTGTGTTGTGGCTAGACCTGATGCCAGCCAAAAGTGTGGATGCCGGCTTCAACAACTTCATGAATATGATCAGGTAAACTAAAAAGGGAAGCAAGTATCTGATAAAGAGGTGTGGCTACTATATTGTAAAATTGTAACTGTAAAATCATTTTCTAATCCCATGATACATAGTCTTGTAAGGTAGATTAGTGTCATAGAATCAGAGTTGTTATGGAGCAAAAGATGGCATGCATTGTACTTTGTACAACTGTTGTGTGATAAAGGGTGACACGTGAGTAGTGGATCATATGTTGGGTCACACGTGCACCTATGACTATAAAAGTTGTAGAAAGGAAGAAATGTGAGTAAAGGAACAACTGTGAGTTAGTATGGAAATGTTCCATCTCTTCTGTTCTGTTGCAGAGGGCAGGTCACAAACATACGATATAGCGGCTACCTGGACACAACATTCAAACTGACAAAACAGATGGTCATGCACTACCAGGAGTAAGTTACTTTACCTCTACAAACTATATACAGTAGTAGAATATTTTGTATGTTTGTAGTTGGCTGTTGGCTGGTTGTTTGGCAAACAGCATAACACAGCTCTCTCCACAGTGACTTACAGAGATTCACATTGCACTGCAAGAAGTTAGTTTCCCTAAGTGCATCACCTGGAAACATGTCAATAGCACGTTGTGAAATGTGGAACATCTAGGTGCCTAGATCATCTTGTGCCATTACTGAGATGTGAATATTTGTGGCAATGATACGGTGAAGTTTTGTGGTCATCACTGTTGTCCCTCCAAACCCACCAGTAAACTGGCACAGCTTGCAGCAGTGACCGCCGCCACAGGAGCCCAGATCCAACTACCCCACAAGTATGTTTGTCCCTTACAAAAAGAAATGGTACTGGTGGCTGGAAGAGGCACCTTCTATCTGCTCACATCGGTACTGCAGCTGGGAGAAGGGTCTTCTGCAATCTACTACTGTATCTAACCCTCCTTTTCCCAGACTGTTCAAGCCTGACGAAGTGCTGCTTCTGTCTGTTTCTATGCATTAGACTAAGCACATCTACAAGCATTAACCCCACCCTGCTGCCATATGTTGTAACAGATGCAGTCTTGGTGCACCCTTGGCAGGTGAATGAGTCACATGTCATGGGCAGAAAATTTCACTCTGCGTCAGTGCTGCCGGACAAGCTGTAGGACAAAAAAAAAACGGAATAGATATATCAACATAGTTGAAATATCACACTTAAGCTCATAACACCAAACAAAAACTAACCAACAGATCAGCAGTTAGCAAAGGCTGTGAAAGTTGACCATCCCTCACTTTGGTCTATTTCAGTCTGCCGCACCCCAACCTAAAGGCAGAGATCAGCAAGACCCAAAACTGTGAGGAACTCTTGGAAGTCATGAAGGTGCTGCTCTTAAAACACAATTATTATAAATTCATGTATTTTTGCTGGGATATGCCCTTGCAGTTCCTTCACAGTTGAATAATTGAAGCCACAGAATATGTAGTATGTGCAAATGTTGCAAGAGGGTGCTTTTTACCAGTCAAACAGTGGCATTTATAAACTGGTGAGTACAAGATCTACAGATTGAGAAAATTTTGTTGTTTTCCCAGCAGAAAAGTGGCAGCAGCACACAGAATGGATTCATGGTGGGAACACACGTTCCCCAGTCTCAAGGACAAGAAACGTAACAAGAACTACGATGGCCTCATGCTCACACTCAGCGGGGACACGTAAGAACTTTCTCCAACTTGTAAAACAGGTAGTCCCAGAGCTCTTTTGAGGCCAGAGCAGTGGGTTGTTATTACACTGTGTCTAGGTCGCAGTATTGGAGGGCAAGGCCAATCTCTGTCCTTTCACCACCTTTTACCTTGCATCTGGGTGGAGTGAGGAAGGTCATGTTAAGTGCCTCTCCAAAGGACAAAATGTCTAGCCAGGAATAAAAGGAACCTTTCCCCTTGCTTTGAAACAAACTTTTTAAGAACAATTCGTAAATAGCTTCAGTGCTCACCTGATGCTGTTGCTGTTTTCTTGTGTTGAATCAAATGTTTTCACCTTTATTCTTATAATCAGCAGAAATCCTGGCTAATAATGATTTTTCTGCCTCACAGGGAAGGAAATATTCTCTTCTCCATGGACACAGCCACAACCAAAACCCGCACCAGTCAGTACCACTCCGAGATGGAGTGGATCTGGAACCGCATCACAGATGAAGTGAAGAAGGGAGGAAACGGAATGGTGAGGATGGGAAACATCTATAGTTAACAATAGAATCCTTCTTTTACAAAAGATTATTCATACACTTTCTGTGTAAGTTTACAAATGA